TTCTATCTTAAAGCTGCAGTCCGGCCTTTTTCCTCTTTGTCGCCATCTCTGTTCGAAATCTGCAATTGCAGTCATTCGCGGAATTATCAACTTTACGTGAGTTGTACTTCGACACCCTCGACACGGCACAGCGCGGATGAACACAGTGTTTGAGGAGAGTGTGCAGCTGTCAGTCACCGCGCCGATGTGGATATTGTCATTCAGAATCACAGATTATTCTTTTTGGAAGTATGACCAATATAACAATTTTCACCGGGAAATGTCATCTGAACTAGTAAGAAACATTCACTTTTGTTCTGGTTCTGACATTGCAGTAAATCGCGCTGATTAAATCTGACAATCGCTTATAAGTTATCATTTCAGGCAAAACCGTGCAAAGTAGCTATACTATGTTCTCTAATTGTTAATGTTAACAACGTCAGCAAGCATTGCGTGACTACATCATGTAATGTCCTTCCGATATTATCCTTGTTTTCGCATGGGTCCGGTTGCAGTCTCTTTTTTTCTGTAGCCACTCCGAAGTCCGAACGAAGTCTTTTGCATGTTACAGCGGGTGAGTCTCTAGTTGTCACTGATGATGATCGTCGTTTGAACCTTTCTGGATCCGCCATCAAATTGATAAGTTTAATTATATCAAGTGCTGTGAGAAAAGGCTATAAATCTCTACCTACAGCATCCTCACACGCAATATAGCTTATACTAGCCGAGACTCCTTCTTTATGTTTTCAGATGTGACGTAATGACGCAAAGACATGCTCGAATCTCCCGCGGAAATCCACCAGTACCACTAAAATTGAAAACATTATTACAAGCTTACCGTTTTGCATCGAGCTAAGGCAAGCAGAGAGTTTTGAACACTGGCTGGTTATGTATTTTATCAAATATGTATTTTGGATAATTTTTAACCCAAAAAAAGCTACGGACAGCAGCTTTAAGTCTTAAGTTAAGATCTGAGTCTGACACGTTAATTTAGGATTTTTCACAAATTCGTTTTACAGAAGCAAATCTTAAGTTGATTTAGGATTATTATCTTATCTTATAAAATCTCATCTTATCTGTAGTTAGGAAATCTTAAACCCCTCCATCGAGTTCGGTAATCAACTCTCAGGTCTGTTACCAAGCAACCAACGACACGCAAACAGCTGCTGTGAAGTAAAATGGAAACCTGGAGAATGGAGAAACAAAATAAGTGGTGCTTTTCATTAAGTGAAGTTTTGATAAGCTTGGTAGAAAAGGCAAAGCCTAATCCTTTTATTTCATTGGAGTCTGTAATTATTTGTCAGAGTTTTGTCGTCAAAGTGCAGCACATCATTTGGGTGTTCACAAAGTCTTTCCACCATCAAACATCGCTGTTCTTGATCTTGTATCATTAATAAATGTGACATCATTATTAGACAGGGCTATTATTATGTGAGTTTTACAGTAATAATTATTTTCACAAATAATTTTGAACTTAGGACACCAGTGGGGTTGTCCTAAAGTTAAGAGAGTTTTTAGGATTTTTTGTGGGGTTAGGGTGCTTCTGTAATACCCTTTTCCTATCCATAGTTAAGATAAGATTATTCACTTAAGAAATGTCATTTTGTAATAGCTTTTGTCCTAAATGAGGTCCTAACTAAAGGATTCTAAATTTAGGATCTTTCTGTAATGCGCCCCCAGAGCATCTTCATAGTAGAGGTCGGTCTGTCCAGCACTAAAAGTCACAGAACACGTTATGAAAGGAAAACTGTGAAATGCCCTTGTTATGACAGTGGAACTTTAAGTAAAAAATTAAATAGTTTGTTCATTTTCAATTGAGATAAAGTAAAAAAAATGTATTCTTTTTAGCAATAAAGTAACTTAAAAATTTCAGACAACTGTGCGTAAGTGTAAGACAAAAAACAAAAGTAAGCTCAGGAAGTCACTCCCTGAAAGTGCACCAAATTCCATTCAGTGGAAAAGACATCGCCTGTGTGGATATTAGGATGGTACACTCCAGACAATCTCCACAGGAGGAAGGGAGTGTGCAACACATGGGACAGGGGTGGGGAAAACTCAGGGAATATCAGAGAAGAACATCCTAGACACACACACACACAGTTGAATGTTTAACCTCTCTAGCCTCTACCATATATAGATATCCAGCATTAGCGAGAGAGAGAAGGGTGGAGAACAAGTCAAGGGTCAGAGAGGGTCCATGTGCTTCTCAAATTAAGCATAAGTGATCTAGCAGTTCTCCATTGTCTTATGGAGCGACTGTGCGTTTCTTTTAAAGTAGGAGAGAAGAAAATATTGGCTGTCACAATAATAGGAACATTGATGATGTCATTATTACTAAAATTACACATACAGAATGCATACACATATCCATACATGACAGTAAAACTGACTTTTTGCACAATCGGATTTACATTTAGCCTCAGTGGCCACTGCAACTTCCAACATAATATTGAATCTATTATTGACATTTTAATAATATAATTATAATATTTAATAATATTAAAATGATCAGAGTTGATCAAAGAGGCAAACTACAAAAATTGTCTTGACAGGACAAATAAAGTTATATTTGATAAACATTCAATAATCATTGAAATCGAATGGCCTTCTCGGGAATCAACAAGAGCTTTAGCTTTTTAAAAAAATGTTTAGACACTGTAAAGTCCAATATGGAAATGCACACTAACACTTGCACATACGCTTTTACTCATGCATGTACACATTACCAGTAGTCTGACCACAATGCTTTAGCACATTTGGTGTGAGGTTATAATTAACCTTATGTCTGTACTCTGTACGGCTGTCGGCTTGTAACTCGCTTTCAGGCACGGTCAGGCTCTCAGAGAACTCAATCAACTCTCTGTTCAATAGATGCCCAACACAAACTCGTACAGAAAACACAACAATGCACTTTCACCTTCAGTTTGGGAGTTGTATTAATCCACTTGTATTTTGTATGTGCTACATGATACAGTATGTATGTGCATGATAATATAATATGTTTAAGGCTCACAACAGGACATTTCTCAACTAGAAAGCAAGACTAGACTAGCTTGACTAGCTCGGAAATCTGCATCAGGCATCTTATGTCATACTGAAACCCATACATCTCACTCTCATAGATTATTATAGATTGTTCTCTCTCAACATGAAAGCCCAATCCATTCTGCCATCGAGTAAGAATGAATGTCCCATTAGCCCATATAGGGTGACATTAAGTGGCTAATTTATTACTTCCTTACATATTATATGAGTCGGCTGTCAAGAAGTCTAAAACTCCATTCAATGGACATTAGAAGTGGTGACAGAACATTACATAATATGTATTACATAATAATAACAATTGTAAGATGTGTTAGGGTTAGTTTTTAAAATGTACTTTTACTCAAATTTACCAAAAACTACAGAATCCCTTTCAGTTGAGTAAAAACATCTTCTTCTTTTTTTTTTATACGGGAAAAGGTTAATAACTTAAAAGTTATGTTCAGTAGCCGACTGTTAATAACACCAAAAAGCAAAGATTTTTATTTCAGTAAACTTCAGAATCACTTCCTGTCTCCTAAATTCTTTCATCAGCCATGAACTTTTATGAGTGGAAGAGTTTATCTGTACAGTGCTGAATGCGGCTGTCGTGACTCGTGCCAGATTCTGTACCACAATGACTCTGCTGTGGTAAGATGTGGGATCCATCAAACATCAGTCATCATTATTCTTGACATTTTGTCATAAATACTCAAAATGTTTAGTTTACATGACCTGTTTCTGAAGGAATCAAGCAGTGATTGATTTAATGTCAATGTTATTTAGTCTCTACTTGCAATAAAGTAGACAGCTCTGACATGGCAGAAACCCCTTTTAACAATAGCAATTGCACCAATGACAAATTAGAAACAATTATACTTTTGATATTTCAAAACCATTCATTTCTGTCAAACACTTGCAGCAGTTTACAGAAGATTAGAGTGGACACTTCCTCTGTGAGGTTTCATCTTCAGTCATGGCTTTTTTAAGGGTTTCCACCCTTTATGACCAGTGATTTTCCATTACTTTTCCAGTCGTGCATGATTACACTTTTTTTCTTTTTCTTAATCAAGCTATAAAGATTGCTGGAGAGGATATTCCAAAAAAATAAATATATAATATAGAAACTTTGATATCTATGTCTAAATGCAAAGCAAATTATATTCAAGACAGAAAATCCCATATTTTTCCAGGACTAGAGAATTCAACTCTTAACTTCTAAAAATCAATGAATCGAGTTTAATCAATTGCCTTTTGTTTTATATCTGTCTTTCTCCTCTGTTCACTTTCAGATGGCCCAGTCGCTTTGTTTGCTCAGAATACACTGCATACAATAAGCCTCCACTGCACTTAGATTCATGCACACTAACATATTCATTTCCTGTACAGAGACCATTTATGTCAAGAAGCAAACAAGTTACTTCCACTATCTAGCAGACATTACCTGAGGATTGCAGCTTCAGCTGTGTTGACTCTATTTGAAATTTACTTTTATAAGTAACAGCCTATTATCTGTATTCAGAAAGATTTGGGACATCAACACTAGTCCCAACAGACACTCACTAATGCTACCATACACATGTCCCCTGTTTCACGGGACAAGAAGATGTGTTTGCGCTCTACATACTTCAAACAAAGGAGACAAAGACATTAGTCCCAACTATTTCAGGGCATTTTAACTCTTTCTGTAAAGCTGGGCAACATTCCTTCCACGTGTATCAATAATACGGGAATAGCCTAATATAGATTTTCAGTCAGGAATGTTTACACTTTATCTCCGAGCCGAACTGACGATGCCCTGCAGACACGAAAAGAGACCTGTGATGATGATCTCAGGCAGAAGAAGCACTTGTTTAACCGAACACGTAAATAACCCACCTAATATTACATTTTAAAACGCAAAACAAAGAACATCTTTGTTCGCTTATTTCCCTTCGGGAGTCCATGGGTAACTGTCCTCTACAGGTATCTAATTCGCTAAAGCGAGAAACTTCACTTACCTGGCTGCTACTGTCGAGTGCTAAACTCAGTTTTTCTGCTGCCGAATCCCACAGCGATTAGATAAATTAGATTTTGTCCTTCGGTTCCGTGTTTGACAGTGTCAAATCTTGTCCGTCTCTCTCGCAGATGCTCGATCTCCAGAGGCTCGGTCACAAACTGTGCACGCGCTACCGAAACTATCATGTCTACTTTGCACGCGCCTCCCTGCGTGCAGCAAAAACACGACTGTTTCTGTGGTGTCTGAACTGTGTGAGACTTTGTAATTGCATGCTGAAACAAATCAAATCAACAATAAAAAATAAAAAAAAGGAAAAAAAGAGAAGAAATTGTTTCTCTTCTGCACATGTCCACATTTGTGTCCAGTCCATTTTGTATGTTTAATTAATGTAGGCTAACTGTGATCACACTGTCTCCTTTTGTGATTTTTTGTTGTTGTGTTGGATAAATTGTAATCCACATAAAACACAGCTAACACTGGTGATTTTTAGGTGAATTTTTATTGTAGAATACAGATCTTCCTTTTGATTGAGTTCAAAATGGAGCTTTATTGCCTTTTCGTTCTCACAAAAACATACAAAACATATTGGTCTTAATAGTAGTTATAAGAGCTATTAATATGAGTGACAGCCTTCAAACAATGACTCAAAACAATTTCAGTTCAAAATAAAGATCAATCATGAAATATATATAAAAATAATAAAAAATAACTGTTTATGCATATTCAATATTCGTTCCTTTTTGGGATTACCAGTTTTTAACAGACGTGACTATTGAGAAGTCAATAGAAACAATGCAAAAGCTGCAGTTCTGTGCTTTGTACATATCAGTGAACCAGCTGGAATAGCCTACACTTCACAGAGAGGCACTACAAGTAGGAAATATACAAAACGTAGAATTAAACAGTATCTCTGGCTTTTTTTTAATTTTTATTTTATTATTTGGTGACTCTGCTTTTGGAAAGTGATATGACTGCTCAAGCAGCAACAATTGTTCCCAAAACACTGCCATATTAATTACACACACACACACACACACATATATATATATATACAGCGGGGGAAATAAGTATTGAACACGTCACTATTTTTCTCAGTAAATATATTTCCAAAGGTGCTACTGACATGAAATTTTCACCAGATGTTGATAACAACACAATGAATCAGTACATACAAAGAAACCAAAACAAATAAGCTCAGAAATTAAGTTATGTGTAATAATGTGAAATGACACAGGGAAAAAGTATTGAACACATGAAGAAAGGGAGGTGCAAAAAGGCATGGAAAGCCAAGACAACAGCTTAAAACTATTAGTAATTTAAAAGCAATCCAACCCCCTGTCCGTGCACATTAATAACAGCTGGTTCAGTCCCAATGGATGGCCTACAAAAAGGTCTCATTGCCAAGGTGTCACACAAGACACATCTCATGATGGGTAAAAGCAAAGAGCTGTCTCAAGACCTTCGCAACCTAATTGTTCCAAAACATAATGATGGCATTGGTTATAGGCACCATTCTAAGCTTCTGAATGTTCCAGTGAGCGCTGTTGGGGCCATAATACGGAAGTGGAAAGACAATCATTTCACCATAAATTTGCCTCGACCACTGCTCCTCGCAAGATTTCTGATAGAGGAGTTAAAAGAATAATCAGAAGAGTTGTCCAAGAGCTAACACCAAGGTGTATGGCGTTTTTAGGGTAATGTGCAGTGCCATTTCTCCTCCAAACATGGTGTGTATTATGGCATCCAAACAATTCAATTTTGCTCTCATGTGACCACACTAAATTCTCCCAGTATTTCCCTGGCTTTTCCAAATGTTGTGCAGCAAACTTTAAACGAGCTTCAACATGCTTTTTTTCTTCAGTAATGGAGTCTTGCGTGGTGAGCGTGCATACGGGCCATGGTGGTGGAGTGCATTACTTACTGTTTTCTTTGAGAACACAGTACCTGCTATCTGCAGGTCTTTTTGAAGCTCTCCACAAGTGATCCTTAGCTCTTGGACAACTCTTCTGATTATTCTTTTAACTCCTCTATCAGAAATCTTGCGAGGAGCAGTGGTTGAGGCAAATTTATGGTGAAATGATTGTCTTTCCACTTCCGTATTATGGCGCCAACAGCGCTCACTGGAACATTCAGAAGCTTAGAATGGTGCCTATAACCAATGCCATCATTATGTGTTGGAACAATTAGGTTGCGAAGGTCTTGAGACAGCTCTTTGCTTTTACCCATCATGAGATGTGTCTTGTGTGACACCTTGGCAATGAGACCTTTTTGTAGGCCATCCGTTGGGACTGAACCAGCTGTTATTAATGTGCACGGACAGGGGGTTGGATTGCTTTTTAATTACTAATAGTTTTAAGCTGTTGTCTTGGCTTTCCATGCCTTTTTGCACCTCCCTTTCTTCATGTGTTCAATACTTTTTCCCTGTGTCATTTCACATTATTACACATAACTTAATTTCTGAGCTTATTTGTTTTGGTTTCTTTGTATGTACTGATTCATTGTGTTGTTATCAACATCTGGTGAAAATTTCATGTTAGTAGCACCTTTGGAAATATATTTACTGAGAAAAATAGTGACGTGTTCAATACTTATTTCCCCCGCTGTATATATATATGTGTATGTGTGTGTGTATAATCACAGATCACACAAATGGCAAAGCATGACTGCATTGGCATGTCAAAGACAATTAAGATGAGGATGAGGTATGTCCCAGTCTGTCTAGGGGAAAGCTTCCCACCTGGACAAATAATGTAGCTCAATTCTTCTGCAATGGGTGATGAGTCTCCAACATTCAAAAAACACACTTAAGAGTTGGGATTTTAACTATTTTAAGATTATCAATGCTTTCGGTGTCATGTTAAACCTGGTCAACTTCAAAATTTGTTTCACACCAGATGTTCTGTAGTACATAAAATGGGGCTGGTTGAGCTCAGCCTGATGATACACTTTTAAAAAATAATTCCTCTGAAAGAAAGATAAAAGTATTTCTATTGGAAAAAGAGTTTGTACGTCCAGCAAATGTGTTATAGCAGCAAATTTTAAATCTCCTCAACAAATACAGAACCAAGCAAAAATCTGTGAATATATATATATATATATATATATCAAAGCATACCGCACAATGTCAGGTTTGCATTTTGTCAGGTTACGTCTTGCTGCACCCAGTGACTATAGAACAATATACATTTGCTGGCATTTAGCAAAACAGCCTATACCAAGCCATAGAACAATATAAAAAAATTCCAAACAACAATTGGTACACCTAATTAGGACAGTAACACTTTACTGCAACTTTTAAAACAAAAACAAAAAAAGTGTTCAGCAGAAATAGTAAATGTACCACTTTGATGTTTGATAGTTGTGCTGTAATTTTTTTATTGCATGGATGTTCATGGATACATGTGTAGTAAACCTGTCTGGAGCACGGGCTGTGGCACTAATGATCCTCAAATTGCTGTGTCTGCATCTCTCACTCTATTACTGTGGCATCCATCTGGTTTTAAGACATACTACTGGCTTTGATACTCCATAATAGCATCACATACACTCAATACAGTATTACCTTATCAAAAGTCATCATCTCTCTTACACCAGAGATATGTCAGTATTTCAAATGTTTTAGGAAAACCGTTCTTAAAAAAAAAAAAAACATCAAGTCACAGGGGAATTACAGTGTATGAAATAACCTTAGGTTACACCACCACCTACTGTTTATCTGAAGAACTGCAATAATATTAATTTTGAGAGAATTAATTTTCTTACTCAATACATCAAGATCCAGTGGAATGCGGGGGGGGGGGGGGGGGGGGAATCTAATCAACAAAATCAAATAACAATCACACAAATTATTTTAACTTATCTCCCATTAAGTAGACCAGCCACAAATAAAAATGTTTAAACCACCTTTTCTATACCTGTTAAAATGTACTTTCAGAAATATACTTGGTCACTCAATTGTTATCAGAAAATGGGTACTTGACAAAAAATATATAGCACATCACATTACAAGCAACAATCATGTTTTGCCACTCACCCCTAAGACAGAACACAAAACATATCTGGCCACTATGGTCAGCATAAAGAAACCTGCTGTCATTGATAAAAATAAATACATTAACAAATACAACTTATGTTGTGATGGGCAGATCATTCAGAGAAGCAGATTGAAAACCACAGCTGTAGTGTTCGTTAAATTTCCAGATCATCATACTTTTCTCCTCTAGCAGACAGACAGCAAGGATCTTGTTAGCGCAATCTCTCTCTCTCTCACACACACACACACTCTCTCTCTCTCTCACACACTCACTCATTCATTCAAACACTCAGACTCTCTCTCTCTCTCACACACACACACACACGCTTTCTCTCATTTCCAGATGTACAGTCAACTGCTAACTCTCTACCTCTCTTAATTGCCAAACAACAACATTAAACAAACAATATAACAGCAGAAGAGGCTGATGATAGGGATTGGTAATTGAACCCAAACCCATACATAGCTGTGAGGAGCTGTTTTTCTATTAATGTGTGTACATCTATAGCATGGCAAAATATGAACAATACTATAAAAGTATTATGAAACCATTTTCATGTTTGATAATATTTTGGGGGTATTTTTAGTTTTTTTTTTTGTCTTTTTATTTCCCTTTTTTGTATCGTTTTCAGTTTTCTTGTACAAATATTTGTATAATCTGTGTACATGACAAAAAAGAACCACTCCTCAAAAAAGAACACATGCATAATTTCTCTTGTACTAATTACATTTTTCATGGTTTTTTTAGACATTTAAAAATATTTGCACTTTCAATATAACATTTTTATGTAATTTGAGTCTTTTTTTTATTTCAGTTTTCCTCAGTGAGGCAAAAGTCCAGGGCTTCAGGTATTGCTCAAGGTGAATTCTCTCTCTCCTACATTCTCTGGTCCTCCACGTCTCCAGTAGAGGAGTGCAGCTCCCCCTATGGGCAGTGAGCAGAAGCTGTGCAGAAGCCAGTGGAGTTCAGGCCTAAACACTCCCACATGATTTCAGTCCCATGGCATATGCCCCACTTGACTTATTCTTTTTTTTGTGTGTGTTTTGTTCTTTTCCTTTTCCAGCTACAAAGTCACACGCATCCCTTGAACAGTGGGACAGGAGAGAAAAATTGTACCACCAGCACCCTTCAGTGGTCAGAAAAATTAAGAGCAGGTGTGAGTCTGCAGTAACAGCTCCCCCTATCTACACAGGTCCCCATGCGCTACCTCACGCTGAGGTTTCCTCTTCTTTATGAGGAGTTTTTGAGACTTGTTGTTTTGCTGCATCTTGTTGGGGTTGCTGTGTGACCCTTGAGCACTTTTGTTAGCAAGCTGTCGGCTCTGAATAAAACAGGACAAAAGAAACAAATATGACATTAATTTTAAAGTAATTAAACAGTAATTTACAGATTTAATATCAGTTAATGCATTAGGTATCATCAAATAAAAGTAAAAAAAAGTAAGCATTTATTAATCTAGACTAATTTATTTATTGTTAATTTTCTGTCAAGGTTTGTTCATAATATATTAGTTAATTTACATATTTATAGTATACAATGCCAGGTTTATTAGATAGATAGATAGATAGATAGATAGATAGATAGATAGATAGATAGATAGATAGATAGATAGATAGATAGATAGATAGATAGATAGATAGATAGATAGATAGATAGATAGATAGATAGATAGATAGATAGATAGATAGATAGATAGATAGATAGATAGATAGATAGATAGATAGATAGATAGATAGATAGATAGATAGATAGATAGATAGATAGATAGATAGATAGATAGATAGATAGATAGATAGATAGATAGATAGATAGATAGATAGATAGATAGATAGATAGATAGATAGATAGATAGATAGATAGATAGATAGATAGATAGATAGATAGATAGATAGATAGATAGATAGATAGATAGATAGATAGATAGATAGATAGATAGATAGATAGATAGATAGATAGATAGATAGATAGATAGATAGATAGATAGATAGATAGATAGATAGATAGATAGATAGATAGATAGATAGATAGATAGATAGATAGATAGATAGATAGATAGATAGATAGATAGATAGATAGATAGATAGATAGATAGATAGATAGATAGATAGATAGATAGATAGATAGATAGATAGATAGATAGATAGATAGATAGATAGATAGATAGATAGATAGATAGATAGATAGATAGATAGATAGATAGATAGATAGATAGATAGATAGATAGATAGATAGATAGATAGATAGATAGATACTTCTAACAGGTTCTTACCTTATTTCCCTTATTAGTGGGGGTGGGTATTGTTGCTGAATGATTTTGAGACCTGTGATTGGACAGATTCCTTTCTGTATTCTCACTGTAAGAGCCTCGCCCACCCAAAGCTTTCGCTGTCTTATAGGGTGTTCCATCAGAATCCTGCAGAAAGCCAGTAAAAAAAAAAAACATGTTTCTTTGTATTTCACCAATACAGACAAAGTAAAATCATTTATTTGGTTGTTTTATGCCAAAAGTATGAAGTACTTACCGCATCACTTGAGCTAGAGGCCGTTGAAGATGGCGATGACGATGATGATGGTGATGAAGGAGAAGAGGGGGAAGGAGAGGAAGAGTTGGATGACACTTTGCTCCGGGGGGCAGGAGGAAGCCCAACACCATCCTCTGAAAGGTTATTATTACACTCATCAAGTTCCTCAGGCTTAACTAGCAGTGTGACATCATTTGCTATAGAGAAACAAAAAAATTATATTCAGCTTTCTAGAGTGAGAGATGGATCAAAATAAGCTCAGAAATAATGTCTTACCATTACAGTTGAGGACCGGCTCTTTGTTGCTCTTCTGACCCCACTGCGCACTGATCCAGTCACGGTACTCTGCTACTTCCTGTGTGACACGGATTATTCTACCTAGAATACTGTGGGGAAAAGATAAAACCAAGAATCAAGAATCAGATCCTGATTTTATCACAGAATATTTTTTTCCACCTCTAATTGTTAGTATTAGATTTTACAATATTGTCTGTTTGTTAGACCCATTATGTATGACCATTATCTATGATAAGGGGTGCAAATTCCCCAATCAAGAGAGCTTGAATAAAGAGGTCCTAGTGTCTATACTACATATTACATCATGGCTCAATGAAGTGCATCAAATTCACAACTTAATACCAAATATATTTGATATATTGTCCAGCCCTAACAGCTGAGAAAATGAAACATCTCTTACAGTTCTCTTTGTCTCACCTCTCTGACTTGTTGTTGGGGTAGTACTTGGCAATTGGGGATACAGCGTGACTTAAGACAACATAAGCGTAATCAAAAGCCTCTTTCACCTGCATCGCCCCATATGAACTTCGCCCTACATCATTTCCTGTGCCACACAAACACACAGAAACAAATTATAAGAATTAGAACATCTTCCAAACAATCTATGATGCTATTTTCATACCAGTTGAACAGTTTAAAACTTTTCAGTGTGTGCATAAGGGTTTGTATGTGTACCTGGCTGCAATGGATCTTCAATGTAAAGCATAGAGGGTCTGTACCCATCTAGCATGCCTTTCTGCACGTCATCTTTGGCCACGTATGAGCCCCCGTCTTTGATCCTGATCCCCGTCTTCAGGTAGTTAAAATGCCGTCCGTACAGCTCAAAAAACTCAATCAGCAGCACACCCAGGTTTGCGTTTGAACTACACACGTCCTCTCTATAGTGCAGCTGGGAAAATAAAACAGCAATTAGAATTGTGATGAAATTGCTATTTTAGCAAAAAGCCTTTAAACAATTTCCATTAAACGGGTGATTTTCACTTCGAAGGTAAATCTGCCAAGGCGTATACCTCTGATAACAAAAGCAAGCTTTAGCAAGCTGATATTCACAAAGAGAAACATTAGATCATTCAAGTTTAAAATAACCATTTTCTCTTTTCAAGGTTTTTCCTGCGTTTAAAATGTTTTGGCCGCCAAAATAAATCTTTGTCCCGCCATAGGTTTATTTGGTTTATTTAATGTGATGATACCCGCTGCTAGCCGGCTGCTTTAAAACGCTCCTGTGAGTGTTTGTGTAAGCGCTTTGTGAAGAGCGCCAAAGCTTTCTATTTACAACGCGTTTTCCAGCTTTGAGCAATGTAGCCAATCACAGACATAGCTGTTGAGCGCGTGAACGCAATGGCCAATCAGATGCGTTTAAGTTAGACAGAATACCTCAACACCACTCAAAAAGGCTGAGTTTTTGTTCGGCGAGAGCTCTGCATGCTGGCGAATCCTTTCATTATAACCGACAAAGTGTAAGCAAGATGTAAATAAAAGATTCATTGCACAGCGTAGACAGTATAATTGTTAATATTTTTCATGCTGCTAACTACACATTGCAATGCAAAGTTTCTGGATTAACAATATTTAAATGCACAACTGAATCCGATTGACGGTGATAACCATAGCAATGGACAGAACAAAATCCGATACTGTTTGTCAAATGATTTGTATATAAAGTCTTTGAGTATAAATGCAAAACAATAAACCTGACACTTTTTCTATGTAATGTGTTACTTTGCTGTTAATTTTATTACTAACTTTTCAAATCAGTCATTGACTTTATCTGTACAAATTAGCAGATTTTTTTATCTAAAATAAATCTAAGCACCGTTTTATGATCCGTCCTGAAAGTGATTATTTTTTATTTAAAGCTCCAGTCCGTAACTTTAAGTTAAAAATAATCCAAAATAATTATATGAAAAAAAACTTATTCTGCCAGTGGTCAAAACTATCTGCTTGCCATAGCTAGATTCAAAATGGTTAGCTTGTAATAATGATTTTAATTCCAGTGGTACTGGTGGGTTTCCGCGGGAAATTCGAGCATGTCTTTGCGTCATGACGTCACACCCGTACTCATAAAGAAGGAGTTTCGGCTAGCCGGCTATACTGTGCGTGACGAGATGTTTAGATGTATAGGCTTTTCTCGCAGCACTTTACATAATTAAACTTATGGGATCCAGAAAGATCCAAACAACAATCATCAGTGTCAACTGGAGATTCAGCAGTTATAAAACCCAAAAGACTTCGTACTTCGGATTTAAGGTGGCTAGAGAAAGAGAAAGAAACCGTCTCATGCGAACACAAGGATTTAAACATCGGCGGGGCTTTTGAAAAGTGAACTCCGTGTTTTGAAGGGGTTCAAAACGGAAGAAGAGACGGCTTTTTTCTGCTGAACAAGTAAGACATTTCAATAGTTCAATCGTGTAACAGTAAGTTTTCTTAATTCACACAATTATGGAGTTTCCTTTGTTGTGCCTTTCTCGTTTTGCTATTATGGAGAATATGAATTCTGAACTACGCAGGTAGCTGCTAACCATAAAACACATTAAATTTAACATTAGTCACGCAATGCTGAGGTTATTAACATGAACAATTTGAGAACAAAGTAGGCTATAATTTGCACGGTTGCTGTAAATCGCATTGATTAAATCTAACGAAGCTTATCATGTCGAATGCTTTTTCCCCCTTAGTTGGTCAGAACAAAAATGGATTTTACTTACTTGTTCAGAAGACATTTTCTTATGAAAATTCTTATGTAGGTCAAACTTTCAAAAAGTGAATCTGTGATTCTGTATGACAGTATCCACACAGCGCGGTGACTGACAGCAGCACTCGCCTCAAAGCACTGTGTTCATCCGCGCTGTTTCATGCCGATTTACAACCCACGTAAAGATAATAATTCCGCGAATCACTGCAGTTACAGATTTCGAACAGAGAGATGGCGACAAAGAGGAAAAGATACGGACTGCAGCTTTAATGAATAAATAGCACAAGTTAATATTACAAACCGTTTCTTTGCATTTATTTTGGATTTGGATTTATTGTCAGTACTTATTCATTTAAATACACACTCTCAATAGTACCCTAAAATAAGTATGTAGAAGAATGTTACCTGTAAAAAGCTGACAGCCATGAGGAACAGACTGTATGAACCGATTCCTCCTGTGAAAACCTCATTGAGCTCTCTTTGCAGTAAAAACTGCTTCAAAACCAGCACCAGGTACGGTAACACAGGATATTGCTGAAACACACACACACAAATACACACAGGTCAGAACATGAATCTGTTTAAAGTCAAGAATAGGGGAGAGCCAATAGAGTGGTGCAGGTAGGGGTGTGCCGGTTTCAGAATTGGTGATGACGGTTATGGCGCGAGTCAAATGTGACGGTTCGTAACATAACTGGCGCCGGGGCGGGGGGGTTGTTGCGACGTTCGTCTGTTATAGGACAACTTAGTTTGAATAAACGAGATTAGCTACTTGCTCTACGTTTATTTAAAATTAACAGCAAGACAACTAGCAGTGAATGTGCTTTCCATTAAATGAATCACACATAGTAAAAAAATCCTTAACAAAAAAAAACAGGCCTTTCTTTGTCAGTGTTGGCTGCAAAGATGAAGTTGACGATGCTGACTCGCGATCTTCGCAGTAGTGAACGCGCCAGAGAGAAATGCACATTTCATACGGATTACATAAGCAGAGAGCAGTCTGTAGTCTGTTTTCTTTCTTAAATTGTTCTGTTTAAAAGTAGACATGTCTGTGACTGAGGCAAGTAGGCTACCTTACAGTATACGATGAGCTTCGGTTCATTTATGAGACGAGCTCCAGTTCACGCGCCGGCGCCTCCATTTCGTGATTATCTATCGTCTGCTATATTTACTTCTTATTTATTAAATCCAGGCAATTGGTTGATGAAACATTGATTAAAATTAAGATACATTTAATACAAAACGAAATTCACTTTAAAGAAAGGTTTTGTGCTTTCTGTTTGATGTCTCTGTGAACATTTTACTCTGTGAGATGTGATTAAATGTCACGTCTTTTAGTGGCGCTTTCAGACCGGTCACATTGTTTTTTACTCATAAATGCGAACACGAAACATAAAATAAAATGAATATTTTATGTTCTGTGGAGACTACTGTTACTCATAATTTGTATTCTGAATACGCAACACCGGTACATGTATTGCGTTACTCCCAACACTGATATTAGTATAACCTTATCTGCAAGATATTTTAATAACACGGTTTTGGCGGTCATAGAGTTCTGATGACTGTGTTCAACTATAACCGTCGGTCTCACGGTAATATAATAACCGTCCGTCACACCCCTAGGTGCAGGTATGACATCACTTTGTAGGCCCGGTTCCATTGTCCCAAAGTCAATGGGTTTTTAGAATGGGGTTTTGGTTAAATGGCTGAAATAAGGTCTGCAGTGAACTCAAGCTCAAGACACTTTCACGTTTTATTCTGCGACATAAAATACATCAATATTACCCCACTTAGTGGTGGTGATGTTGAATTTGTGGGGCCGTGGTGTAAAGATATGTACAGTGGGTCCTCAACCAGAATAATACTTTTACCGCCGCCGCTCCCGCGGCGGTAAAATTCGGGTGTGTATTTGCTGCCTTTTACCGCTAAGAGGCGCTACAATCACAGACTGTGAAAAGTGTCAGTTTATTCTCTCTATTGCGTAATCGCCGCAGTGCCGCGGCTCATTCAGAGGAATTGAAAGCTCATAAGTAACCGATGAATTCAAGTGAAACATTGTTTAAACGAATTCATAATCACACTACTGAAATTAAATTGAATAAATAGTGAAAACCTTTCAACATAAAACATTGCAACAGAAACATATTAGGCTATACCTGAGGGTTTGGAATAGCACAAGACAAAATTTAATAGCGTTCAGACGGTAGCTCAGTGGTTAACGCAACAACATTAATCTCACGGAGCTTTAAGTGATCCGAGATCGAATCTCACTACAGCGTATGCTGTTGGCCGACTTCGTTTATGTGTAACCGTTCTTAATGCTTACACATGGATAATTGTTTATTAGTGAGTTCATTAACTGTTTATTTATTTAAAGTCAAGCGTTTTTGTTTAATATTATTAATGGCACACTACAACATGAATTTGCTACATTCCAGTAGAGCCGCTGCACGACAAAACTGATGAGGGAAGATTAGCTGATCGCGTCAGAAAATGAAAATAATGAAGCTCGTCTTTAATCTGCTAAATTATTGTTTTGTGAATCAGTCATGAAATTAAGATAACACTGATAGGCTACCCGGCCATAGCAACGGAAGAATTTTTCAAAACATTGAACAAATCAGAAAAGACTGATTTTGTTAACTTGGCTACACAAAATAACTAAATAATACTAAATAGTATTGCTTTCAATATAAAAACAAATGAAAATGTAAAAACACTAAAAGTTTGAAACCCCATAAGTGTCGGAACAATTTATTCATTTAAACAGGGTTGCATTGAGTTTACAGTTTATTTCCTTTGCGATGCAAAATAAGAAACACAGAATCTTATTCTTGCAACATTTTAAATCTGTATTGCCAAAGAAATTGCAGCTAAATTAAACAATTAAAACAGTACAAAACGATAATAGTCCTAAGCGACATAAATTAAGAACATGTGTTTTTCTTTGCCTCTCTCTCGCGCTGGATCTCTTTTTGGCAAGTTAATTTTGTCTCCCTCCCTCCAAAAAAACTGTAACAAATTATTTAGCCTTTGTTACTTCAAAGACACAGCATGCCTTGTTGAATTCACCTTACAATAAAACGAGGTTGATCGCGAATTAAAGAGCTCTGTTTCTGCCACAATTATAGGCCTATTTATAATTAATTAAAATATAGGGCATTGGACACATCGAGAGATGTATCCTTAAAAGAACTGTGCCTTTGCCTGCTCATCGGGCTGGCTATCCGACATCTCCATATGAAAGACGAACATTAACACCTTTTGTCCTGCGCACGATAAAGCCACTGTCCCTCCAAACCCCCCACAGGCTAGTCTGAGACTGACTTAAAGAGAAGTCGCAATTCACACTTAAACCGCTATTCAGGCATTAGGCTATTAAAGTGTTGATAATGAAGGAATTAAATAATGTAAGCTACATGTAGTGATATTTCTGTCATGAAACTTATTACTAAATATCATTTCAATAATTCGTTCAATTTCAATACGTTTTTCTTTTTCTTTTTTATTCAAATAAATCTCGAACCACAGTGCTTCGTGGTCCTGCTGTTAAACTAAATAACATTTATAGAATAATTATGAACTTAACAGAAACAATATCGCAACATTTCGACAAATAAATTATTTGATCTGTTTTTACATTTTATTTTAGGGCGATTTAGCCTACATTTAATTAGAGCGAGATTTCCCCCCTTGCCTTGTCCTTTCCTCATTGGGAAGCGCTCACATCATAGCATGTTTGAGTAGATCCTCTGTACCTCTCAGTTTCAGATGGATTACATAATCAGATAACATTTATTAAACATTTAGACATTTAAATGCTTTAGATAGCCTATAGCGATTTCTTATCGTGACTGAGCTGAGGCAAGTGGCTTTCGGTTCATTTTTGTGACGCGCAGTTCCCGGAGACAGAGACGAGAGACGGAGACGACAGCTAAAATTTAGTTGTTAGCCTAATATGAATAAAAGTTTACAGTTTTGAACGATGTAGGCAAAAAAATACGGAGTAGCCTATTAACTTATTTTAGCTGTTATGAGAAAAATAAATCCAAGTGAAAGCGCCGCGCGCGTTTGTCGAACGGAAACGCTGGTTTTGATTTTATTGTTTGTCGTTTAAACGTGCCTGTTGCATATCTTTATTTTATATATTGTAATTTGTATATGGTCTATTGGTGAAGTAGCCTATTAGCATTGATTACTGTGGAGGAAGGGGGTGGGGGATTCAAATAATTCAGCAGAAGCAGGGATGTTTAGACCAGAAGGAAATCCCCCCCAAATCGCTTAAAACCTTGCTTAAAACCATGTTTTAAAAACTCCATGTAGGGAATCCAAAAATATATATATAGTAGGCTATATATTTATTTCTTTACAGAACTGCTTTTGAAATGACGACTGGTATTATTATATAGATGTAAAGTCATTCTGGTGGATACTAGGCTATATGTTCCAATGTAAAATGGAAATGCATGGAATTTTATTTGATAAATAGCCTCTAAGCAAAAACTATAGGCTATGGTGTAACAGAGTTTTAGAACTAGACAAATCTCTCTGCATTACTAATAGGATATAAAATGCATTAATAGGCTAATATAAAATTTACAAAAGTCCAAGATTTTTCGAGATTTGAACCCGTGTCATCTTAATGATCAAACCGCAAGTTCTACCACTCGGCCATGAATTTACTCACTGAAAAGCCAAAACGTTTGTTTCTCCAGTGTGTGTTCGCTCACAAGAGCGAGAAAACGTTTGATCGTTAACCTATTGTAGACCTTTTACAGTTTTAAAAGATGATATTTTATCTGTATGACCGAAAATTACGGAGTAGGCTATAGCCTTTTAAGTTTTTTTTAGCTGTTATGATAAAAAATAAGTTCAAGTGAAAGCGCCGCCGCGTTTGTCGACCTCTAATTCAACATGCCAGAATAAAACCCGATTTTAGAATAATGTGTGCCAAAACACTTAATTATAAACTTCAATATTTCGTTCAAAAAGATCTCAAAACGCTTTGTGACATTTTGAAAAGCCGTGAATGTATTAAGCCAAGGCCACTGGAACCAGGATCGTCACTGAAACGCGCTGCATGTTATCTCTCAATAGAGGAGCAGAAGCGCCGGTTCAGATTGTAGGCCTATTGTTTGTTGTTCAAACGTGCGTGTTGCATATTTAAAAAAATATTTGAAATGGTCTATTGGTGAATTAGGCTATAGCATTGATTACTGTGGAGGGGGGAATCCCCCACCAGCAAATCGCACCTTGTTAGGCTACACAACCATGTTTTTAAAAACTCTTTCTATAGCTTATTTAAAATCCCATGAAGTTTTTTATTTATTTTTTTAACAACTTCTTTTGAAATTACGATTAGAATTATTATACAGATTGATATAAATTCAGTCAATCTGTTGGATGATAGCCTATTTGTTCATTTGTGTAAAACGGAAATTGTATTTTATAAAAACCGTGTTTATTCGGGATTTGAACCCGTGTCATCTCAATGATTGAAACCTAAGTTCTACCACTCGACCACGACTTATCTCGCTGACTATTGCCCAGAAGTTCGGTAGTATACTACTATAGTTCAGCAGTCATTGTGCGCGCACACGAGAGAAGCGATCTTCACTCCTCTCATTCCTCAAAAGTTTAGCGACATTGCACCTAATTTATTTTCACTGACTGCGAGATAGGCCTATTTCAACTTTTGATTAATAAAATGTTATGCTCTAAAAGTTTGTTATATTCTGTTTAGAATGTACTTTTACTTAATTACGTTTTGCTTTCGTTAAATTTAACCGACTCTGTTAGCCTAGGCTAAATTATTTTTATTTGTATTATTTTTTTTTGTTCTAAAAGTTTGTTCTATTCTGTTTCGTTTGTTTATTTTTATTTTATTTTTTACATATTCAATCAGTCTCATTCTTGTTTTTTTACAAGACCTTTTTTAATAAACAGATAGCCTACAAACAGAGATATATAATAGTTCGTACAAATAAACGTGTATAGCCTATAGCTACTACTACTATGCAGGCTATACTATAAATTGTATGATCGTATGTTTAAATAACATTAACCAAATTGTCTGTCTTTAATTAATAATACAATTATTACCTTAACATGCAGTTTCAACTTATTAGCCCCGCACTTACGTTTCAAAATGCGGCTGTTTTGCTAAATGCCCCTTTGCGCCCCTGTTTGCGCCACCTGGTGGTCATTTCGCGAACAACTTTGAAATGCGACTAGTTTATTCTTGCCGCGGTGAATTTGCCGCGGCACGAGTCGCGGCGGTAATAGGCATTCTGGTTGAGTACCTACTGTGTGTATATATATATATATATATATATATATATATATATATATATATACACACACACACATAATTGATATAAATTCGCTGGCAGTGGCACAGTGTACATTAAGGAGATACGACCTTTGGTGACAATCCAGTGTAGTTGGTTCAAATTAGTTTCTAACACCTAAACAGCTCCATTCAAAATCAGCATTCCCTATTAATTAATCACTTGAGTTGAAAGAAGTTAGAAAACCTCCACACTCACCCGTTTGAAGTCCTTGATGAGGTTTGCAGCTTTTACACCACTCTGTACATTAAAGCTGATGTCCACTTTTACCTCTGTGTGAGCATCTGTCAATTTAATGATGGGGACCTACAGACACACAGAGCATTAAAGACAAGCAGGGATGTCTGACAGATGCCAAAAAACGCCCAACACACATGTATGACACACGGCAGTGCTCGTACCGTTGCTTTATCCAAGACTTTGACAGAGTTTTCATCTGCCACTTGTCTCTTGCGTAGTGCCTCTTCCAGAGTCCAAAGAGGTAAAGTCTCCCAGTGACCAAAAACCACCAAGTCTATATCACTGATATAAAGAGAGAGGATACAGAGGAGAGAACGTTTTAAATAAAGCAAACAGAAATCATTCTCCTCTTAAGAAATAAATAATCCAGTAAATGATGAGTCTGTGTATTGATGTTTTGGGAAAAAGTTTGATTGCTTTTAATACATTTAAAAAGATTATCTAAGTGCTCCTAAGAATGTTAAGAATTTACTGACGTCACATAACTGAGTGCTAAACTCAACTAGATAAGCAAAGCTAAAATTACAAATCTTAATCCATCCATGCAAACACAAAAAGTTCAAATACATACATCTACACGTCATAATACTTCTATAATACACAATTACAACAATTCTTATACTTTCGTTTAACTCAAACCACAAAACAGTTGTACGTACAAGACCATGTAAGATACCATAAGAATATTGTGCTCAGTGAAAAATTGTAGCAAGAGAAAAAAAAAATCATAACATTACCTTGTAGGTAAATACAAGCCTGTGCTGAAGCTGCCAAACACTTCAACCTGCAATCAGAAAATAGGTTCAACTCAGTCTTCCCCTACAAGAATCCAACAAACATCCTGTGTTCATATTAAAAAAAATAAAAATAAAAAAAAAATATATATATATATATATATATATATATATATATATATATATACAAATATATCATTTTTTTCAGTTTATATATATATATATATATATATATATATATATATATATATATATATATATATATATATATATATATATATATATATATATATATATATATATATATATAAAAAATCAGAGTTTCTGTCTGAGTGCACAAATGTAATTATTTGCAAAAAACACACAAGGACTGAAACGGGTAAGAAAGCTGTGAATACAGATGCATGAATATATGTTGACAGTTACATGCTCTGCAAGCCTATGGTACAATGTACTCCACACCTTAAAGGGTAACTAAACCCCTGGTCAGACCCTGACTCCACCCCTCGGAGTTTCTCCGCCGCTCTGCATACTCATCTCCTTCATCGCTCTGATTGGTTTTAGGTCTACCCACGACGTCCGTTGGTGACGCCCCTCTGGAAATGCCCTCTATGACGCTTTGCCAGACCATAACTCAGTTACAACTGAGAATGGTCTGGTTTTAACCAGGCTACTTTCCAACAGGTTTTATTGTAGTTTTTGTCCAACTCCATTGACTTGACAACTACGATGAAACCTGTTGGAAAGCATCTTTTGCAGCGATTTTTGTGTGAGCATATCAGTGAACACCCCAGACCACTGTGAGTTTCACGTCTTTGTAAACTAAAGTTTAATGTGTTTTAGGAAGGATTGTTCCAGTGCACCTATGCAACCATTGTGGAGGTGGGGGGGTGCAACCACAGAAACCGAAAATTCTCGGGCCAGCAGCATGTGTCCAAATTTCAATCTTAAAGCTATGGTCTACGATTTCAAAGATTGTTCATTATTAATAACCTTGTTAAGATGCTGGTTATGGTTCTACAGTACAATCCTAACAATATGAAGAGAAAAAAGAATGAAAAAAATTAATTCACTCTATTGGGTGTACAGCTGCAGAGAAGTTGACCAATGTAAGCTGTCCGGCCGGACAGCTTACATTGGTCAACTGCTCTCATCCAATCAGCAGCTCCACTTGAAACTCCGCCTGGCGCTCGCGTTGATTTAGCAGTGCTATTCTTTTAACGGATTCTGAACAGTTTAAATTTCCATGTCATGTGTCTTTTCTTTATTTTACATTCAGCACCCATCAGGCATATTTCCTTCAACTGCTAGAAAACATTAAGAAGCTGTCTTTAAAACTCCAGCTGGCGGATTGACCTGACATAATCATCTAACTGAAAGAAAAAATATGATTAAGCACCAACAGTGTTGGGGAGTAATTAGTTACATGTAACAGAGTTACGCAATTTAATTACAAAATAAAATGTAACTGTAAAATCATATACAGTTACTGAGAAAAAATGTGTAATTAAATTAGTTACTTATGAAAAGGTTAAAGATTACATCTGAATATTTTCTTTAAAAAGCTAGAATATGTTGAATATTAATTTTAATCTTTGCCTGTTTTTGATTTGCACGATGCCTCCTGCCATCTAAAGGCCGTTTAGTAAAATTATGCTATTCTGATGCCTTTGATTGGTTCTCGTTTTAATTTGAAGCGCATCACGTCTGCCAATTACATCAATCCACATTGCTGCTGAAATCTTTAGGCTACAACCTGTCTGAGAGTTGCCACCATGGCAAATGATAAAAATGCATTCCAGTGCTGGAAATTAGAAAAATAATCAAAAAGTAATCAAACATTTTAAATAGGGTAACTTGTAATCTGTAACCTATAACATTTCCAAAGTAACCTTCCCAACACTGAGCACCAACCAATTCAATATGGCTGGACTAAACAATGCTAACTGTAAAACATTTATATAAAGAAAAAATCACTGTATATATATATATAAATATATATATATGGGCACAGGTGAACTGAGAAGAGTATTTCTTATATTTCTGATGGGTTCCAGTCACAACTTAGAAATGTCCCCCAGGGCTTTATATTTAGACCTCTGCATGTCCATGACACTGGTGTAACGGTGAACTATCGCAAGAATAAATCCACACATGGTGTTTGATATTTAAAAGGTCAACTGGAAACTTGAAAGTAGGCAACTGTTTATATTTATGTTCATATTAATGCATCCATGGCAGATATCATATTGATTGTGCCTCATTGTCCAAATATCCAGAATACGAATTACATAAACCTCAAGAAAACAATCAGTTTAACTAAAAGGTGTGTGAGTAACACGAACCTCGGCATTTGGCCACAAGTCTTTGATGACCCTCTGGATCCTGGCCACCACCTCCAGCCTCATGTGTTCCTCCTCTGGACGAGGAGAAATGTAATCATAAAAGTCCTTTATCTCTTCATGCAGCCTGGAGAGAAAGAGAAAGAAGTATTACATAATCTAGTTCATCAAAGAGTGATTGCATTATTAGCAATAAAGTTATTTAATGTGTAAAACAAATACTATATTAAAGTGATTTAGCAGCACAGTACCAGGCGATGATAAATGATAAACCTGGTGTTTAATAATAAACCTAGTTTCTGATGACCTGGGCTGTTGTGAGTGTCATTCAATAACAATAAAGGAAGAATAAGGCATTACACAACCAATAGTATGCATACAAAGTTTTTTTGTTTCACTAGGTTAAATACACCTAAACTACTGCCTTATGCTCATTGTGAAATAAATTTACAATTTAAAATATACGTTTTCTATTTTACTATATTTTAAAATGTAATTTATTAATGTGATGGCAAAGCTGAATTTTCAGTATTGTGACATGATCCTACAGAAATCATTCTAAGGGTATGACCAGACTGCCAGCAAAAATCAGATGTTTTGCATATACAGATTGGGGTTTTGAAAGTCTGGATAGCAAAAAAAAAATATATATATATATATATATATATATATATATATATATAAATATTATTTGCTAAATTATTATTTTTTTTTTTATCTGATTTCACATGATATATATATATATATATATCATGTGAAATCAGATTAAAAAAAAAAAAAAAATTTAGCAAATAATATTTATATATATATATATATATATATATATATATATATATATATATATATATATATATATATATATATATATATATATATATATAAAAAACATGTGAAATCAATTTTTAAAAATCTAATTCAAAACACATTTGAAGGTGGTTTGAAATACAATTCCAATCGGATTTGTACAGATGCGTCTCAGTCTGGATGCTCTGGCTGCTCAAATCATATTTCAAATTGTCTTTTGCTTCACTCTTAATGCGACACACAACGGTATCGTCAAAACTGGTGAAGGAAATGCCGGAAGTATTAATACGATGTTCAAGCGGCATGTCCAAAAATTTCTGCATTTTCTTGTGCGGCAGAGGAGTTCTGCACCAAGTCTCAACAGGGTGCTTATTTGAAGAGCTAGATGATGTGCCTCCATTTTTCCTGCATCTGTTTTGAAAGCCTCATCACATATGTGGGTACGCCTCCGTCGTTACCAAAGAAACCCATGCAGATAAGTCTGGACACACAAATCTAATTTGATCACTTGCAATTAATAGTGTGGACAGTCTGCCTGTAAAATCTGATTTGAGAAAAAAAAAAATTTGCCTGCAGTCTGAACACAGCCTAACATGCTGATTTGGTGCTCAAGAAACATTTCTTATTGTTATCAATGTTGAGAACATTTGTGCCGTTTAACCTTTTACTGTTCTTTTTTTATCCATTTAATGCATCCTTTCTGAATAAAAGAATCAATTTCTTAAAAAAAAAAAAATCTTATAACATGTCAAGTCACCTTTATTTATATAGCACTTTTTACAATACAGATTGTATCAAAGCAGCTTCACAGTGATAACATGCAAACATGATAACATGGTACTGTATGATGTCAGGTAAGTGATGAGAATATTGGTTTACATAACTCAGAGTGACAGAAGAACAAAAACAAATTCACACCCTAGTTACAGGTAAGTAAATATTCAAAGGCAGGTTATTAAAGCAGGGAGACCTAGTGAGGCTTCTGAGTCAGGAAGAGGGAGAGTGTAGCAACTATCTAGGTGACGCCTCTTTATTACACATCTCTAATAATCTGAACCAAGTTCATTTCAACCTGATTACTTAAATGTAGTATTCTGACACAGAAACTACCCTGGTACGTTACCTAGATGGCAGAGTGAATTGACTTGCAGTAAGTGACTTGCTCTACGTGTGGCTTCTCCTAAGAACTGAAGTATTTCCTCCTGAGGTTGAACACAGAATCTGTGTGGACACTGCAATTACACCTACACTAAATGAACGTTCTGCATTGGTTATTTCTATTTTTGCTAACTGCTACAGTGGCCTAAATACTGTTCTTTCACAATTCAGTAGGGCTGGGCAAAATGGCAAAAAATTTATTCTCAATATTTTTCAGAACGATTGACCAATTCAAGATTTTAGGTTTTTTTTATGTTTAACTAGTCAACTTAAAATGCATGAGTCCACATTACAATTTAGAGTGATCTGTTATCAGAGGTAACGGTCTAAGTTATGTATTTCAGAAATGTGCATATACAAAATCACAGTTAGCGAAAAAGGTATTATTTTAAACAATGTATTAATGGTTTTCAACTCTTAATTTAACTCAACACATTCTGCGTGAACAGCCGCGTATAGTGATGTGTTCTACGTTCATAGAGCACGTCACACGAAAGCGGTTAATCAAGTGTGCCATCATGTGGTCGGATCATTTTCTTCTCTTAACTGTTATCATTGCAGTATTGTCAACATGACTAATTGTAACGTTTGCTAGCATTTCTATTCAAAACCGTAATTTCTCAATTTAAAAATAATAAAAATCGTGGCAAAACATTCAATTCGAATTAATCGAAGAAAAAAAAAAAAAAACGACCAGCCCTACAATCCAGTCTCTCTTCCACATTTGACACCAAGGGAATGTTAGTGGGCCACAATTAATTTGTTACATTTTTAGTGCAGAACAAGGTGTTCAGATAACCTTTTAATCCCAGCATCCCTTACGTTCGACTAGAGCTGCCAAACTAAAGTTCTTACTCTAGTCTAAAGAGTACGAGAATTAAAAGGCTTACCCAAGTCATCTGCCCAGACATTCTAGAAATGGAGAGGACAGGTGAGAAACCATCATGCCCTGAAGAACAATTTGCACTCTGGGAATCCTAGGCATCTTATTACTTAAAGGACAAGTTCGGTATTTTACACTTAAAGCCCTGTTTTAAGATCGTTTCTGATGAAATAGAACGGTTAAGATTGAAATTTGGACACATGCTGCTGGCCCGAGAATTTTCGGTTTTTGTGGTTGCACTCTGTTTTGTGGTTTGTGGTTGGTTCTGCAGGGGCAGTCTGACAGCATTCATCAGATCTGGCCACCACTGCAACAGGAACACACCCACTGCAGACGCACGCTGATGACTCCACAGACACAGCCGCCTCTCATATAGTGCGTAAAAACTGAATCGAGTTCTCTTTCGCGTCTTCTTGCACTTGAACGGACAAATGCACACAAAATTGTCAAAATATCCTTGTAAACAGAGTCGGGTCATTTTCCCCAATAGTTAAGATCAGCAAAAAAAATGGGGGGTCGGTTGGGGTTGTTAATGTAACTTTGCTTTTTATTTATTACTTATAGCCCACTTTACACTAAGCTAATGCACGGATCCAATATAATGATACATCAGATTTCTTTCTTAACTGTGTACGTTCACTTAAGACATAACTGACTACTTTTACGAGAATCCTTGCCGAGGCGGGTATTTTAACATGTAATTGTGTGTATGTGACCGTTCAAGCGCAAGGAGACGCGAAAGAGTAATCAATTCGGTGTTGACGTGCTCTGCAACTCGCCTCTCTCTGTGCGCACGCTTCAGGTGTGTGCGGCTGTGCACTGAGAAAATTCTCTCAGCGCACAATCGAGTTCTTTTTTGCCTTTTTTGTGCTTAAAGTCGGCATGAAATCAAATTTGACAAATCTTCTTTTTATGTGTAATATTGTAGTGTTTATTATAAATGATTTATCTGTGCACTTCATTATTTTTTTTTAATTAATGTACCGTTATAATCTTTAATCAAATACATTACCCTTCCCTCCCCCCTCGAAACGACCACTCTTCTCTTTCGGTGACGTGCAATGGCGAAAGGGTGCAGCCAGAGCCAATGAGGGTGAGGCTATCGGTGCAACGCCTCTCAGAGAAGATATTCAAATCTGCCTCCATTTTGTTTGCAACGCCCAACCAGAGCCCAACCTCCAACGATCCAATCAATTCCCGAAGGACGAAATCAAGCCCCGTCCTAAATTTTTTTCTAATTTCAGAAGACGTTTCACTCGGATATACGTCACAACAAGGAAAAAATGACAATCTCAACTTCCGTTTCATGCCGACTTTAAATGGATAAATTGTCAAGAAAAAAAACATGCTCAATAATGCCCACCAACAACCATGCCACGCTCAAAATTGCTTAAATCACCTTTCTTTCCCATTCTGACATTCAGTTTGGAGTTCAGGAGATTGTCTTGACCAGGACCACACCCCTAAATGCATTGAAGCAACTGCCATGGTATTGGTTGATTAGATAATTGCATTAATGAGAAATTGAACAGGTGTTCCTAATAATCCTTTAGGTGAGTGTAGTGTTGGTGGTTTCATGCCTATAAGTGGCCTGGTAGCCAATCTTCACTGATTCCATCTGTCCATCAGTAAGAGCAGTATGAGAAGGTTGAATTAGCAGAGCAATTGCACAGCTGAACATAAAATATTGCAATCCTCAAAACATAATAGGAAACATATGAGAGTTCAAAAGAGGACAAATTGTTGGTGCGTGTTAGGGCTGGGCGATATGGAGCAAAAAATATATCTCGATATATTTTGCTATATCTCGATATTCGATATATATCTCGATATCTTTACAGGAAAATGGATGTGAATACAACTCAAAATATAGGCCTACAATCAATAGAAAATTAATTTTCCATAACAGAATGTAACCAAATGAGAAAAATTAAACACAGGGCCTGAATTTCGTCATCATTATTAATCACGTGATTCATATACAGAAACTGAATAAAGTAATCAAATGGAAAATAACACTGAGTAGTATTTTAGTCCTGAATAAATTAAATACATAGGTTATTAATCCTGATTCCTTTAACTTAAAGCTATCTTTTGTTGCATTCAACAAAATGAATGACACACACATATGGCTGCCGTCACTTTAAGAGCTAGTGCACGGATCCTGTGTTCATTATACTGGCATGCGTTTTATGCTTATTAAAGACCAAACCGACTATGTTTAGAGTATAGCCTACTCACGACGACCGAAATTGACAATTTTGCGTGTTAAAGCAATATAA